CAACAATTCGATCATGGATTACAAAAAAATCGATCAAGTATTACAAAACAATCGATCATGGATTCAAAAAAAAAAAAAAAAAAAAAAAAATTACTGTTATTCACAGAGTTATTTTACATAAGCGATTTTAACTAAAAAATCCACCTCTAAGTGAATAAATTACATCCAATTGAGTATATTTTCTGATAAACAACAATATAAGGAATCAAAACCCTAAATTTTTAACACATTATTTCTAATATATCATGAAAACAAAATCAAAAGGCGGAAAAAAAAAAAAAACGGAATTTTGGTTCCACAGACATCTCAGTGTTCATCTCAAATTTCATGCTGTAATTGACCAAATTATGTAAAATTGAAAATTTTAAATCATACTAGACACAATAAAGATTAAAAACCCTAATTATTGAACTCATTATGTTCAAAATATGCCGTGAAATAAATCAAATGGCGGAAAAAATAAAAAACCCAAACTTCTTACCTGATTTTGTGAACCGAAGCCTTTAATCTCCAAAAAACTCTATTTTTCTCAACGATTATCACAAATTAGTAACAAAAGGTTTTGATTTATAGCTTTACGATCAAAATGCCTACAAATTTTGAAAGATTCATGCTCTATTTGGCATGAAACTTTCAGAAAAGGAGGAAACCCTAAAAAAGCAAGTTTCGTGATCCAAAAACACCAAATTTTTCAACCATTTAATCCTTGAAAAAGCTGAATAAAGCTGTTTACAGCCTACAAAGTAGATCACATGCCAAAAAAAACAAGAAAAATGATCAAAAAATGACAAATTTCAAAGAATCCCGTGAAGAACACTGTGCAACCCGTGTTCTTCACGGACTCGCCGATTCCGCACAGTGACTCAGAATCGTCCGGTTCTCTCTAGAACCAGACGATTTCCGATTTTTTAGCCGATACGATCCACTTTTTGCGATTTTCAAGTCGAACGGGGCTAGTCCGGTTCGACTCGGCGTTTTTTAAAACACTGCCCTTGACGATTCAAAGTCTTTCAGGAGGAGCTAGTTTTTCAAGCAACACAGATTTTAGGATCTGGAGCTGATCCTTGAGATTTTGCCTCGAGTTGAAGACTTGGGCACTGAAAAATGGATGGACCTGGGTTCTGGCGATAATCCCATGGGATTGCAGCATACTGGTTCATAGGTTTGGGAAGGTTAGGTTTGGAGTTGGCTGTGGAGCAATCATCATGGTTGCCTTGGGTGATCAACTTAGTCTTAAAACATGATCTAGACTCGATTGAAAAGGACCTGAATGGAGATAAGCCAAACCGAGTCTCAGGGATAACTTTAAGTTTGGACCAAAGTTAAGTCCTAGACTCAAGGTTTTGCTAGACTTAGTGGGTTTTGGTTTGAACCCTAAACTAGGATGAGCCTAGTCTACTTTTAGAGGCAATTCTGAATCTAGACCTAGGTTAGGACCTATGCTAAAATCTAGACTGGGTGGGCACAAATCTTGGCTCGTACCAAGAGGGGGTCTAGGATTGGACCTGGGTGTGAGCCTGAGTCGGACTTGGACTAAGCTGGGTTGCAACCTAAACTTGGACCTAGAGGGTTTCGAATTTAGATCAGGCGTAGACCCGGAATGAGACCTAGGTGAGATTTGGTATGAGTTTTGGCTCGCACCAAGAGGGAGCTTAAGTTTGGACCCAGTTGTGAACCTGGTTCGGACCTGGGCTGGGCTAAGTATGAGCTTAGATTCGGACACAGAAGGTTTCAAATTCTAACCAGGTGTGGACTCGAACTGAGATCTAGGTGAGATTTAGTGTGAGCTTTGCCTCGCACTAAGAGGGAGCTTAGGTTCGGACCCGGTTGTGAACCTGGTTCGGGCCTGGGCTGGGCTGGGCTGAGCTTGGACTAGGAACCAGCAGGGTTCTGCTCAGACCAAAAGAGGATCCGGATTGAGATCTAAGACTAATAAACTCTGATAAGCAAACAAAGCACTAAAAAACTTTGCCCAAAACTATGGGTAGGCTAAGTCAGAGTGGGTTCTTAACTACATAAATGAGGCTAGGCTGAGTGGGTCCCCACGTAGGTCTTGGCCCCCTGTTAAAAGAATCAGCCAGGTCCTACTGTGTGTAAAGTTGCTTTGAGGCTAAAGATTATGAAGGCGCGCTCACTGTTAAAGTTATACGAATCCCAACCGCCTCGGCTCTCAAGGCTAGGTTTCCCTCATGATAGTTAATGCCAGATTTTGTGGTTTTCAAAATTGTTTGCTGGTTTCCCGGTCCCTGGTCTGTTGTGTGAAGGGGTATGTAAAAAAGCAAGCAAATGAAAATAAAGTGGCAAGCAAACACACAATAAAGAGATATAAGCACATGGTAAAATCATATCGAGTGAGGTGCGCTTTGAGTCAGAGGTTTGACCAACTGAAAGCACAGTTCAGGTGTGGGGGTAAGCAACCCCTAAGAAAATGTACAGTCATGCAAAGTGGAACCAGGTACAGCCTGTGCCTGGTTGGGTGCAGCCCGAGTCGAGGGTGACTCGATTAGGACACAGTTTAAAGCGTGTGCAAGCAACCCTCAAAATAAAAATTTTTTGGCTATATATATATATATATATATATATTGATGAAGCAATGTTAAAGTAAGCATGATAAAACACATGATAAAGTAGGGAAATCATGGTTTATAACAAAATTAATTAAAATAAAATGAAAAACAGATAAGAAATACCTGCCTCAAGAATTTATTTATTTTTTAGAAACAAATTTTTGACCTCAAAATTGGTGAGCAGCAAGAGAAAGTCTTGGAATAGGGTTGTGGGGTCCCAGGATTTTTCTGGGACCTCTGGCTCTGAGCGACACGTGGAGTGTCTCATGGGCGACCAGGGAGTGTCTTTTGGGCGACATAGGTAGTGTCGCCCCAGACAGACAGGGTTTCGCAGTGGCATAAACCATGGGTCCTAGTTACAGTCGACCTTGGGAATATTTTGAGCCGAAAATCAGCGGACAACTGTAAATAAAAACACATATTTTGGAGCTCGGATCAAGCTCAAACTACCCCATGGTGGGCACAAAACTGTTCACGAAGCTAATCGGGGAGATCATCAGAGGAAGATCCCTCAGATCCGTATCACAAACTATTTTTTTTGAAGAGTGTGATAGAGAGTGGGGACATTCAAATTCTAATATGAGGCCAGCTCTATTTAGAAATGAGCAGATATGCTCTCAGATCAATGAAAGAGCCATCATCGATCTGAAATGCGAAATACTATGTAAAATGTAATAAAACTAATTTAATTCTAATAACATAAACAAAAATAAAAATAAATACAAGAAAAAGTAAAAATGTACCAGACCGGGCCAGTTGGTCCAAGGCTCCCGAGGCTTCGAGGCCTCGCCTGTATTAGGACCGGCTAAGTATATATCGTGCGTCCTCTTTGTTTCTCTTCACATTTTGACCAGGCCTTGGCCTAAAGCTAAGGTTTTTCTCACAATCTCAAAGCTTTCTTTAGATACCCAAGCTAACAAGGTCTAACCCCCTAAATGAACATGAAATTATATTTCTATAAGTTGAAAATCGTTTAAAATGGGTAACAAATCATAACCAGAAGACTTTCCAACCTAGATTGTTGTTTTGGTGGTCCAAGGCTTGGGCGGCACATGTATTGTCTAGGTTCAATGAACCTGGCCAAAAATGATTTAGGAGGGGTTGGCATGTAGAAACTGCTAATTTGGGTCAGTTTACTCTGAGTAGTGTTGCCCAGACCAAATATGCCCGGAACTGACAGATTATTGTCTGGGGAGATTTTGTGGATGTTGGGATGCCGCCTGCAAAAAATGAACCGATTTGAGTTAGTTTAGGTTAGTGTTACCCCAACCAAATCTTCCCAAAATTGGTAGATTCCAGTTTTGTGGGGATCTACAGGCTCTTGTGATGCTATCTGTCAAAATTTATGTCAAAATGAAGTGTTTTGTTATTTTTAATGATTTTTTTTACTAAAATAGGGTGTTCTGCAGGATTCTAGATCACAGGGTAAGCAGTATGGACTATGGTGGTTTATAGTCTGGGGTTTTACTAGGATAATGTGGTCCTAAGGCTGTCTATGGTTTAAAAAACCAATGAATTTGTCCGTTTACAAATTGGGGTGTCTATAATATGAATCCGGATACTCATAAAAAGCATATCTTTCCTTGACACACTCTATACCAGTGTTCAAAAAATCAACTCAACCAAGATGTTCAGACCCTTGCCGAGCCAAGTTACTCTACCGAGTCTGAATAACTCGGCCGAGTTCATGTCATGCTAAAAAAAGGAATAATGAAAGTAAATAAGGTTTATATATAACAACATACATAACACTAGTTTGCATGTATGATATTGGTAATTATCATATGTGTATGATAGCCAAAAAGCCGTTGAGACATTGCGTGAATAAGGTATCAATACATGGCACTGGCCTCGTGCATAGAGGCCGAGTAACTCGACCGAGTCCATAAACGCTCCTGTACACATTCCCTAGGGTTGGTCGTATAACTGACCCGACTCTGGGATTTCGCCACAACCAAATTCAATAAAGATAGTATTATGAGAATTGATTTACCAAAAAAAAAGTATGATTAGAATAATAATTGGATAAAGGCCTGGGGACAATTTGGGCATTCAGCTTTCTTTCTTTCCATTCACATGTTGGAGTCCACCTGTGTTGCTGCAATGAGCTCAGAATAAGAACAAGGACAATTTCCTGTCCCATTGGTTCTTGGGTTACACACTTCCCACCCTACCCTCCTTCTCCTCTCAATTCTTTCTTTGAAAATTGACCCCAACACGAATTCCAAGACTAAAAAATTCTCTCTCTCTCTCTCTCACTCTCTTACTTTTTCTCTCACTTTTTATCTCATACAAAACACTCGACAATGCTCCTGCCTCAGGGCTCTTGGCTCTCGAAGACCAGAAGATGGAGGTGATGAAATCTTCTCTCTTTCTTCTGTATCTCCTTTCTCCGGTTTTTTCAGGTAAAACAATGGAAACCCACTCCATTTATTGCATTTACTTCTTTCTATCTGTTTTACTTTTTTATTTTTCTTTGATAAAAGGAAGAGAACCCACGTCATTTATTGCATTTTTTTTTTCTTGTTATATCTCTGTTCATATTGCCATGGATATTAGCTTGGGGTTTGTCTTGAATGTTGCTGGTTTTTATTCTTTTTTTTTTTTCTGGGTTTTGTTGAGCAGGTGGAGGTGTAGAAGGTTACTACTCCACTGGGGTTTCTGAGAGCTTGACCAGAAACATTTTTTATCCTGGCCATGAATCAGTTAAAGATATTAATACTCAGAGAATCAAGCACCTGAAACTCTTTGAACCAGACCCTGTGATGTTAAAGTCTTTGGCTTACTCAGGCCAAACTATAGCTGTTTCAGTGAGAAATGAGTATCTCTCTTCTGTTTCTTCAAGTGTTTTACTAGCTGAAAAATGGCTTAGAACCTGTGTTCTTGCTCACTTCCCTGCTATTAAAGTCAATGCCATTGTCGTCGCAGAAAACTTACTCTGCAAGGATACTGAAATCCAGGAACGGGGTATGATTTTACCAGCCATCAGAAACCTTCATAGTTGCTTGATAAGATGGGGATTGAGCAAACAAATCAAGGTTTCGACTGCTATATCCATGGATTGCCTTCTGACAAAACCAAAATTTTCTCCATCTTCTACTAAGTTTAGAGGAAATTTAGCAAAGAAATTCATCAAACCCCTGCTCATCTTTATGTCCAAGTCGCAGGCACCTTATTTCATAACCTCTCAGACCCACCTTCAAAACCTAACCCTTTTAGACATGATTTCTGCTCACTCAGCCGCCATTAAGGACTTGGGTTTTTCAGAAACAAGGTTTACCATCCTCACAGAAACACCATCTCATCGAAAACTCACAGTCGACCCATACCCACCAAGACCAACTCCATTGCCAGAAGCATCACCATCTCCATTTCACTCTTCTATTGGCTTCTCGACCCCTGCGACTGTCACGAAAAACCCATCTCCTCCATTGTTTTCCTCTGCATCCCCTCCATCTCAAGATGGATCATTCTCATTTTCACCAGAGGGTCCACGCATTGTAATACCTTCAATGGGTCCTTCAATGGCCCCTGGATTAGGCCTATCTAGTCCTCCAAGCCCTTCATCTGAATCGGGCCATGACCATTTAAGCCATTACTGTAAGAAAGTTGCAGAGGGTCCCAGTACTGGACATGGAGGAGGTATTGTACAGGCGCTATGGTGTGTGGCCAAGCCTAGTGTGCCTGCAAATGATTTACAGGAACCCATTGATTATGCTTGTGGAGAAGGAGGAGCTGACTGTGAGGCCATTAGGCCTAATGGGAGTTGTTATATGCCTGACACAGTGGTGGCTCATGCCTCTTATGCCTTCAATAGTTATTGGCAGAAGAACAAGCATAGTGGGGGGACTTGCAGCTTTGGTGGAACGGCTATGCTCATCAATTCAGACCCAAGTATAATAACCTCTCTCTCTCTCTCTCTGTGCTTTTTAAAATTGTATTATTTCAGTAAAATCTTTTAGTTACTCTCTCTCATGATTTTGAATTTTACCTAGTTTATTGAAATAAAGATAAAGCTCTTAGTTTTGCCTATTTTCAGCCAATTTCTGGATAAAATCTGGTTTTCAAAGGGCAAATCAGCTATTTTGTGGAGAAGGCCGCATTTCCTATAATCATTAAAAGCTGGCATTCAATTTTTGTCTGAAACTTGATCCAACCATACTGAAATCTCATGAAAAATTTGGTCATAAAAATTTGGTCATTTAATCTATTGTAATGCGACAATCCAAAATTCTAATTGTTTTGCTGAATTTTATTTAGAAATCTATGTAAGTATTGGAAGTGGAAGATGATTGGGTTCTTTTCTCCTTTATTTCTATTTATTTATCGGTTAACCGGGGTTGAATGCTTAAAACTGAATGCACAATTTCAAGCTTTGGCTAAAATAAAACACCATTCAATTGAGGGATTATACACCACGAGACTCATTTCACAATCATTTTTAGCTATTGAATGTGAAATCCAATAAATAAAAATATACCATAATATTTGAGAAATTATGATATCAATGGCAAAATAAAGGCTTGCTTATCCATCACTAGGATGTTTGTCATAGGAAATCAAATGCAATTTGGCAAAACTTTGATTTCTCATTGGATACCCTATAAAGCAAGCTTGATTTGCCACATAATCACATGCATGTCATAAAACTTATATTCGGTCCTTGAGCTTTTTATGGCCTTAAATCACAAGTTACTGCAAATAGTAAAAGCCCTCTTACTTTTGGCCCACCATTGCCGTGTTTTTGTGTTTTTCAAAACCCAAAACCAATACTTCCTGACCCACAATATCATATTTTAGGACACTGCTTTATTTGGTTTCTTGAAAAAGCCAAAACCCCATTCCTTATTGGGCCCATATTCCCACTTTTTTCTATCCAAGAAAAGAACCAAATTTCAGGTCTCCTAGTATCGAGCATAGTAACATAGAACAATATAAAAGTAAAACTATATTTTCTTTTTCCCATCATCTTTTTAAAATAAAGTTTTGGCAATTATTTTACATTCTTTTGAATTTTCTTATGAAAAAACTCAATAGAAACCTCTTCCTAACAAAAAAAAAAAAAAAAAAAAAAAAAGAAAAAGAAAAGAAGAGAAAAAGAAACTCAATAAAAAACTGTTTTTCCTTATTTGTAGAAATGTTCCTTTCATCTTATTGTGTTTGATCTTATTGCAGGCTTTCTTCATTGCCAATTCACCCTGACTTAGGGAATAAATGTACGAGGAGATTACCAAAGAGCACTTGTCTAGCATTTGATATTAGTCTTAAGGATAAAAGATCTAGTTCTACTCGCCCATTGATAGTATGTTGTTCTAGCTTTTTTGTGACTGAACCAACTTGCCATAGGGCTTGAAAACAGTTGAGAGTCTTGTAATAATGACTTATGTATGGAATCTCTACTCTTTTTTTTTATCCCCCTTTTAGTTTCTCAGATTGGCACTGGCAATCAAAGCCGGGTCAAAATATGATTAGGCCCTTGGTTCTCACCAAATTTTTTCCCTGCATTTAGAAGCGCAGAGTTCTCTATAATCTTATCAATGCATCTCTCTCATACACATTCCCAAAATTTATTTTTTTCCCTGCATTTAGAAGATCAGAGTTCTCTATAATCTTATCAATGCATCTCTCTCATACACATTCCCAAAATTTATTTCAAGGAAGCATTTCTACGAGTCAAAGGATTCATATGTAGAAATACGACCCCTCTAATATTCTATTTTTGAAATAAAATTTAACCTTAATTTTTAAGGAATATACAATCCTTAATATTGAGATTAATAATGTGTAAAAAATAAAGAATTTAAAGTAAAAATGATATTTTTTAGAAGGAAACATTTGAGCTATTGATTTTACTTTTTTCTTAGCGGATCATCACATGTATCCGTTTTTAGATGGATGATTTATGCCTCAGAGGACGCAAATATAAAAATGCATCCCCCAGATGCATAAACTACTTATCTGAGAGGATAGTGTCAATTTTTGAAAGTGCGGATATACAAGGCTTGCTAGGGTATCCTGATGAATAAAAGTAGGAAATCTATCAAAATGCACCCGATTTTTTGATAATACAATCCACCATTTTCAACTGTTTCAACTTGTGGTCATGCCAATTTAATGGATTTTTTACTTTAGAACAAAGAATATAACAAAGAACATGGGTAAAATGTTACATGGTTGATCTGGTATGTATATTTTGAATAATTTCCTTGATACTGTTATTGTGCATTGATATGTTTTGGAATGATCTAATACATACGCAGATAGTCAAAGGATCAAACTTCCTCAATACTTCTATTTTGTATTGGTATATTTTCAAATAACCGAATACATGATTTACTTGGAACCCTCTAATATTTCTTTATGGATTCTATCTGATTAGCATGGTAGTCATATATGTCCATATCAATTTTGTTCCACTTTCTACATGGATGTTTCTATTGCTTGCTTTTGTCCCCATTTGTCTGCCAGCTTATATTACCTTTGCTCACATTGTTTCAATTGATGTGGCTGCATGCACCTCAGTTGTATGGGAGCCCGTTCTATGCCCTCAATCTAGGTCCTATTATCCGGGGCCACACTGTCCTTCCAAAATCTGTATTGAAGATGGATTGTGGATCTAAAATTTCACAGGTCTAACATGATCTTGAATAAATAAAAAATAAAAAAAAAAAAGAAAAAAAAAGAAATTCAAGCCTTAAAAAAGTAATTTGCTTTGTACTCTGGACTGTTCACGTCGATTCTTCAAAGATCATTACATCTGCCTTTTGCTTGGAGCTCCAAATTATTGGATTCGAGAGGTAACTAGACTTGCAGTAATTTACGGCGTGTTACAGGTTCTACAACCCATAAAAACTTGAGCTGATGCATGAATCCTACAATTGTTTTTTCATTTTATCGTTTATTTTGAGTGTTTTATCAACTGTTTTGAGTCAAAAGCCCTACCATGAAAGTCGCTTGAAGCCTAGAGTGTGATTACCACTGTATCTGTAGGAATTAAATAAATAAAAACAAGGAAAAAGTTTATATCAGGTACAACCTTATATTTTAGATATAAAATGCACCTTAAAAATCAATAAAAAAGAGTGTCTAGATGTTGGAAAACTTTTTAATCGATTATCTCGACTTCAAGATGTATGGATGGATATAAAGAAAAAAAAGAATTTCAAGTCCAAAAAAATAGTACATTACATAATAAGTTTTAAGATGTCTATTTTCATATGTGCTCGATTTGTACCATATTTACAATTTTCAAATATATACTATGGTGGCATACAAATTCTCAAGCTATCATAAGGTTTCTGACATTGAAACGACACAAAATCTAGAAGTGCACCTTACTTCTACATTATAAAGAAGCAACCTTATGTAAACCTCATCGTGAAAACAAAGATATACTTCATCTAAGGTGTCTGTGCAATTCTAGTGCAACCGCGGCTATGCTAAACATGTGCACCCTCACCTCAAACTTAATTTTGTTTCTCAGACTGACCACAACACTCTAAACCAGTGGTTTAAAAAGCGGATTGGTGATCCGGATTGGGCATCTCAAAAATCCATCCGAATCGACGAATCGACGATCCGGATATGGAATCGACTGAATCGGTCGGATTAAACCTTAAAAAAAATCCGAAAAAATTATTAAAATTCATTATAAATGTTGTTTTTTAGGAATTCAATAAGAAACGAGGGTACTCCATTAGGAATTTTCATTTCTTTGCATGAATATGCGAATATTGATATGTTCGTTCCCTGTATGAACTACTATTTACCATTTATTTTACATCACACAAAAGGATAAACATAGAATTATCATGGATTAAATATATCATCATACATGAAATATAATAAAGCATACAATTCGTAACATACGATTTAAAAATAAAATGACAAACGACATCGTTCTTCATCTTGGTCACACTGGTGCCATTGATTGAATTCGCGTGACAATTCATTGACTCGATCTAAAAACGAATCATCCAAATTAGTGGGCACCTGACTATACCCAAATCCCTGAGTGTTAGTGTTTTGTTGTGGTCCTAATCCAAAATCCCCGACGCTTGTCCATCCTTCATGCTCACCTACACTATCATGTTCATCCCTACCCTCTTGTTGTTGGGACTCGATATGTGAATAATTAGGTTGGGATTGGATAGCCTTAGAATCATTATCTCTCTTATTTTCCCTTAGACCCCCTTCCCACTCTCCCTTATTTGGTGCAATATCACCGTCATCTCCGACAAATTGTCGATATTTTGGCAGGCTGCTCCCTCTTTCATGCTGCTCATCACCTTCTTCAAGATCTTCCTCACTGATAGCCTCAAGGAACGCTCTCTTGTGCAACACTGGCTTCTCTTCTTCTACTACCCATTGTTCTGCTGTGTTTGTGAAAAATATTGTGTCCAAGTCTATCGGTCCATAGTCCTCAAGCTTCCTTCTTATTTGTCGCTCTCGGAGGTTTAAGTTATAATGGACGTAGACTAGTTTATGAAACTTCTCCGAAGCGAATCGATTCCTTCTAGTAGTGTGCAACCATTGGAACGTACTCCAGTTTCGCTCACAGCCAGTAGCAGAATATGTTTGGGAGAGCATCTTGATTGCTATCCTCTTTAGGTGAGGCGCATCACTACCATATATCTCCCACCATTCAGCTGGATTAAAATGCAAAAAGCATTGTAAGGGCAAGAACAATTCATAAGATTAACTATATGAATGAACAAAATATTAGTTAGGGGACAATCTGGATCCATCTTAGTTTGAGAATTCCTGACAAGTCTAGTTCCGAAGGATCCTATAGCATCCTTATACATAGCAAGCTAAAACAAAATATTTCGTTTCAGTGCATTATTCCTCACAAATATAACAACTGAATCAAGTTCTTACCGAAATATTAAATAATACCTCTTGTATTGCTACTACCTGGTTTCGATGGCTTCTCTCCAACCTGGCAATAATGTATTTGACCCCTTCCATAATCTTGTGGGGATGTTCAGGTGTCAAATAGGAAAATTATGGGTTGAAGTAGTAACCTGAAAAATATATCGATAGAGAAATGTCATTTAAAATTTCATAAAAAAATAATTTACAATGAAACATTCTAATGATATAAATATATATTTACCTGCATAATGAATTGGACGTCCAAATTGGTGTTCCACCTTCTTTCTATAATCTCGATCACTTTACTAGCAAAATTACACTTCTCCCTAATAGCTGATCTCTCGATACCTACATAAAGGATGCCCATGGTAGCTTTCTTGTCAGCATCCACCATTCTTAACACCGTGACCAAAGGAGCAGTGGCCTCTACGATACTGGAACATCAAGACCTGAACCTCCTATTTTGAGACTATGTCATCCACTTTTAGCCCAGTACTGGACTTTGAGAGGCGGTCATTTAACCACTCTTCACTGGTAAACAATCTCTGTATTGCACCTTCAGATTCGCGAATGGAGTCCACAGCCAAGTAATCTGTCGCAAAGCGGGTTATGGCAGGCTTGATTATCCCTTTTTTCTTAGAATGGTTATATATAAATCTTGACACTAACCTCGCTTCCTGTAGAATCTCCTTCACAATTTTGATCTCACCGATCTCCTCTAACATCAGATCGATGTTGTGTGCAGCACACGGGGCCATACTAGATGCTTCCTCTTATCCATCAACATGCTGCCCGCAGAAACATATGCACGCGCATTGTCCGTAATAAACTGGACTACATGCTTATCTCCCACCTCCTCAACTATCTGATCATATAGCCGTACGTAGAAGTTTGCATCCTTTTTCATCCCTGATACGCCTTTGCTAGACAAAAAAACTGTACCTTTTGGGGAATAGGCCAAGAAGTTTACAAACTCTTTTTTGCTAACTTTATTCAACCAACCATCACTCATGAAAGTAATGCATGTTCTTGGCCAACTCTGTTTATATTCTTCAATTCACTTTCTAACTTCCTCCACATCTTCATCCAATATTGGCCCACTGAGCTCATATGCCGTCGAGGGTTTTACCTCGGGCCCGGCTCTCTGGATTGCATTGACCATAGGTGGAAAATATGGGCTATTGGTTATATCAAAGGGGATCTCTTCATCGTAGAACCATTTTCTTATATATCTACCCAACATGTTTCTCGTACCTTTCATCATGCCTTTGAGGGTCATTTGTTCTAACATAGGCTTTGAGAGAAATGGGTCTATACGACCATGATCTGCAATACTGGCACTCTTAAGTAAGCTAGAAACAATTTCTTCAATGTCTGATTCCTCTTGATACATATTGCCACCAACCCCTCCATACATATTTGAGCTGGGCCAGCCATAAATGCTCGACCTGGGCCCGCCATGCATGTCTGAGCTAGACCCACCATGCGTGCCCATGTCATAACCACCAGGCATTCTAAACCCGCATTCCCTCTGGTATATTTCATGTAAACTCATTCTTGTGGCTATCTCCAAGTCATTATTATATTGCTCTTCTGGATCATTCCCGCTTGAGGGCGTATATAAACTAGCTATCTCCTCATCCATCATCTGCTTTGCAATTTTTTTACCTTTGGTAGCCTTGAGAAATGCGACCATCTACTTTCTTACATTATTAGGGATACTACTGTACGCAGAAACATCTCCCTTAACCCCTGCCAAGTGTTGCTTGAACTTATGAACCCCACTACTTATCACTTTTTGACAATAATTACAAATAATTTTGTCGTTTCTGTTGGGATCAAGTCTGACCCATGTTCCCATGCAGGGTCTTCCGCAGATCTTGCCATGGTTCAACTTTAAAATGTAAAATGTTAAAAATTAACCTGACAGTTGAACATGAAAAATAATCACCATGTGTAGTGATAATATGTAGGGGGAGTTCATGAAGTTATATTTGTTGTTAATGCAAAATACTTCAATTGACAAAAATATTTTAATTCCTAATGAGGAAAACAATTTATTTATGCAACATTATAGATAAAAATAGCCTATATCAGCTACTACATATAGAACAATAAATTTACATTGATATATTATCAATAAAAAATATATTTACAATGGTATAGTAATTCACATTGGCAATTCATATGGACTTGTCATAAATCTTCATTTCAACAAACATGAATTAGTTCCTACTGAGAAAAAAAAATATTTATGCAACATTATATATAAAAAAAAATCTGTATAAGTCACACTTAGAATCAAGAAAAATATTAAATTAATATAGTCATCCATAATGCCACTACACGTATATTTGACACAAAAAACATTTACAATGATATAGTCATTCACAATGCCACAAATAAAATTTACAATGATATAGTCGGCACAATCTCAACTCGATTGAAATGATCACAAATATTCATACATCTCAATTACAAATATACAAGATAATATAATTAAAAAAACAAGCTCCAAACATGACTACAACTCAATTATCAAGAACATACATTTTTTGCATTAAAAATTTAATAATAAAATTGAAAACTGCAAAATAATATAATTATCATACATGCCACAATTTTTTTACAATGATATTCACTTTAATTCTTCATGATAATACAGTTTAACAACATGTATTTTTTGCATTAAAAATTTAAAAATAAATTTTTAATGCAAAACTGCATTAAAAATATAATACAGTTTAACAAGATGCATTTGCTAATGTATTTTTTTGCATTAACAACAAATTAGAAAATACAGTTTTGCATCAAAAATATAATAACATGCCACGATTTTTTTATAATGATATTCACTTTAATTCCTCATGATAATACAGTTTAACAATATGTATTTTTTGCATTAAAAGTTTTAAAAATTTAAAATAAAATTTTAATGCAAAACTGCATTAAAAATATAATACAGTTTAACAACATGTATTTGTTAATGTATTTTTTTGCATTAACAACAAATTAAAAAATACAGTTATGCATTAAAAATATCATAACATGCCACGATTTTTTTACAATGATATTCACTTTAATTCCTCATGATAATGCAGTTTCACATGTATTTTTTGCATTCAAAATTGTAAAAATGAAAGATACTTCTTTAATGCAAAACTGTGTTAAAAATATAATACAGTTTAAGAGCATGTATTTTTTTGCATTAACAACAAATGAAAAAATGCAGTTTTGCATTAAAAATATAATAACATGCCACGATTTTTTACAATGATATTCACTTTAATTCCTCATGTTAATACAGTTTAATAACATGTATTTTTTGCATTAAAAATTTAAAAAATTAAGAATAAATTTTTAATGGAAAACTGCATTAAAAATATAATACAGTTTAACAACATGTATTTGTTAATGTATTTTTTTGCATTAACAACAAATTAAAAAATATAGTTTTGCATTAAAAATATAATAAAATGTATTTTTTTGCATAAATAATCTACGAACATGCAATTTTTTGAACTAGAAATTTAACAATAAAAATTAAAAATATTGTTTAATTCCTAATGATAATCAAAAACAATTTTTCGAAAAATCACGATTTCTCAAAAAAATTGATCATGAATAAAAAAAAAAAAAAAAACCAATTCTTCACAGACCAACCTAACATCAGTCATTCCAACTCAAAAATCCGCCTCAAATCGAATAAATTACATCAAATTGAATACATGTTTAGATAAACAACACTATAAGGAATCAAAGCCCTATAATATTAACACATTATTATCAAAGTATTAAATAAAATTGATTGAATTGAGGAAAAAAAAAAAAAGCAGTTCTTCACGGGCATCAGTCATTCAATCTAAAAAATGAAGCTCAAATTGAATAAATTAGATAAAATTGAATACATGTGATGATAAACAATACTATAACGAACCAAAACCCTATAAATTCAACACATTCTTTGCAAAATATTTACTGAAATTGAGAAAATGGCGGAAAAAAAAAAAACAGTCCATTTTTTTTTAACAGACATCAATATTTCTTTCTATAAAATCCAACTCAAATTGAATAAATACAATCAAATTGAATACATGTGATGATAAACAACACTACAACGAATCAAAACCCTATAAATTTAATACATGATTTACAAAATATTGACTGAATTTGATCACATGGCGGAAAAAAAAAAAAACACAGTTCTTACCTCTTCTTCGTGCAGCCGTGCCTTCAAACTCAAAATTGATATGTATTCCTCCAAGATAATCACAAATTATGAACACAAAATTCTGATCAACACTCTTACGATCACTCAGCCTGAAATTTTGCAAAAAATGATGCGTTCTATCGCCCGAAATCAGTGAAATTGCAGAAACCCTAAAACTCTGACTCTTCGATCCAAATTTGTTGATAAAAACGGTGCTTTTTAATTCGTTTTATTGACTGAAATTGATGCGAAATTTGAATTAAAGCCTGTAGAAAAAGTTGAAAATCGATAACAAAATGAAAAAAAAAATCGAAATCCCATGAAGAACACTGTGCAACCCGTGTTCCTCCGGGTGACCCGGTCTGATGCGCGAGTCACTGTTCGGAATTGCCCGGTTCTCTCTAGACACAGGCGATTCCCGCTTCATTTATGGAACTGCCTTGTTCTGTGGCGATTCTCGAGTCGAACCGGACGAATCCGATTTGACTCGACGATTTTTTAAACCCTGTCTCTAAACCACATGGATATCGTTTTCACGGGACACGGAGCAGTCACTTAAACTAGATAATTTAAATTATATTATAAGATAATACAACAAATCCTCGAAAGTAATACAACAAATTTGGTTTTTGGGTCATTTGCCCATTCCTTGATGCGGGAAAAATGCAATCAAAATTATTTCAAATGCTTTGCTATTTTTTTGTTTTCTCAATACTATTGTTTTTCAATTCTAAGCAATTGTCAGGGAAATTATTGCTAATATACTTATATTTTAAGAAAATTGGAAAAAAATCCCCAACTTTTCAAAACTTCGCCCACACCTTTTTTTTACGAATTTTGTTTTTTTTTGAACGAAACTACCCTTTACGGTAGTCTTTGTACCGTAAAAAGCATTACAGTATTAAGAGTACCGTAATGAGCATTACGGTATTGCTAGTACCATAATGCTCTTTAAATGCTTTACGGTCATAAAAAGACCGTAATGGAGTTGAATATCATTACGATACTGAGTACCGTAATGCTTATTTTGGTGTGAAGATCTTCCATGACATATCTGCTTGAAAGAAGTGCTCATGCGAAGGGTGTCGTCATGGAAGTATCGTAAAGAGAGAGTAGGGATGAGTCCTTTTAAATCAACAATTATACCTTTTCTCTACCAAACACTGCACAATTCTACCTTTTCTCTTCAGATTCTCGGAATCATTGCCCACTCAGGCACTGATATGGAGAATCAGTTGAAAACCAATGTAGAAACATCAACCAACAAAATACGATTTTAGATGAAGCATTATAGGACAGTTCAAGAGGGTAAAAATCAAATTCAACCGGCTCACTGCATCCATGAGAGTTTCAACGAGTGCGAGGCTATTGATGATGACATTGCCCATCTCCCTTGTCACCTCAGACACATAACCAAGAGCTCTCGACCCATGCACCTGGGGAAGACCTGCATATACTCCTCATAATTGAGGGTCTCGCTCCCTCCTTCAAAGCTTGGAATCCACAAAGGTTGAGAAGCTTGGGCCATTTTCACCAACTCATCCATTGTTGTCAATACGAGCTCTGCAAGCATCGATCTCTCGAGATTCCCTGCTCTCCCCATCACATTTAGCTGTAGACCAGTGATGAAATCAACACCTTGGGGCTACGAAGTGGTAGTTGTTTAATAGAGAAACGGTAGAATTGTTGGTGCAAAAGAACCCATCCATACTCTCTCTCTACGATGTCTCTATGAAGACACCTCTCGCATGGGCACTTCTTTCAAGTAGCAATATCATGGAACATCTCCACACCAAAAAGAGCATTGCGGTACTCTTAGTACCGTAATAATATTCAACTCCATTACAGTCTTTTTATGACCATAAAGCATTTAAAGAGCATTACGATACTAACAATACCGTAATGCTCATTACGATACTCTTAATACCGTAATGTTTTTTACGGTACAAAAACTACCGTAAAAAGTAGTTTCATCCAAAAAAAACCAAAATTCGTGAAAAAAAGTGTAGACGAGGTTCGAAAAATTGGGTTTTTTCAATTTCCTTTAAATATGGGTATATTAGCAATAATTTCCCTAATTGTTATTGTTAGTGTTCTAAACTTGGATAGACCTAGGGAACTTAGAAATTATGGGTCCGACCTGGATCCGTGAATCAGTGAAGTAGATTGCTATCCAACTGGTGAAGTAGATTGCTATCCAACTGGTTAAGGCCATATGGGGCTGATTAAAAATATAAATAATAATGAAAATTTTCCCAAAATATTGTTAGGTTGTTTTGTTTAAAGGGAAAAAAAAAAAACACATTGCATTGTAATTTTGATGATAATATTGAAAACAGGTAATATCGAGATTCGGATTCCTCTCGAAGTGTTTCGTTTAACAATCTAAAATGCAACAAATTACAATAAGAATATACAAATATCAAGAATGCACGTGCATAGACTAAAACATACAACCAAATACCAAATGAACTACAAGCAGACACATTTCAGCATATAACAATTTATTGGTAGTACGAAGAAGGCAATAACCAACACAAACGGAGATACAAAAAACAAGAAGGCATATGGCTATTTGTTGATGGTGAGAATGACCTAGTCACCCAGAAATTTACAAAATCACAAATACAAATTATTAATTTCAACAAAATATTCCTTAAAATTAACAAAAAAGTATGAAAATTATTGAATAAAAATTAACAAAACTAATAAAAGTACAAAAAAATATTAGGCAGAGAAGAAATTGAGAAATGACTGAGCAGAGTAAATAAATCATGAGAAAATTAGTTAATTGCTAATGAACTATGAAAATTCAACAGATTCAATGATAAGTTACACAAGTATGAAAACCCTAAAAATAATATTTTTCATGACATCCATGCAATATAAAAAAAAAATCAAAATTTTCATCATGTTCTCTTACTAACACATAATTTGTCAAAAAAAAAAACCCCATAAATTAATGAAAAATAATGCCCAATCCTATTATTGTTAATCAAATAACGGCAAGATCTAGAGTCACAATGCTCCAAATATGCCAAAATTAGGTATATTTTCAAGAAACTCCAGATTTGAAATTGTTGAAAAATAAAAAAAAGACAATGGAAATTCAAAGCCTACACAAAACAGATGCATGATTAACCAAAAAATGCTCTAAATCATGCTAATCTTGCACCAGAACTAAAACCCTAAAGAAACTAGAGCATAAAAATCTAAATTTATACACTGATTCAAAGAAATTGGAGATACCTTTACGAAAGATTAAAAACGTGCAATTAAAATCTCAAATCTACACAAAAGTTATAGAAAAGGATGAATACCTGTTATAGATCACTGCAGAGACACTATAAACACAAATTCCTCTAAGAAACTGCAGCTCAAACTCCAAAACTCTTCAGATCCGAGCTCGGGTCTTAAACAACCACCATTGTTTTATCCATCGATCTCATATAATAATGTTTTGATTTAAAAAGAGTGGAAGGCTAAAATATGAGCAATTAGAGATGAATTTTAGGATTTAAGCTGAAGAAAGGTGAGAACATAAAAAAAATAGCAAATTGAGTGCTCTTTATTCTCTCTTGAAAATATTGTAGCATCAATTATTTGATGCTACATTAAAATTTTGGGGGAATCGGTGAGGTTGGACAGATTCCCGATTACCCCCAACAATCGCCTAGTTTGATCAGAGAACCCAACAAAAGCCCAACTCGAGCCAATTCCCAATATCGGGAGGATATCGGCCGTCACCTGCTGATTCCAACCTGAATCGGCGATTCTCAACCTAGATTGGCATTTTTTGAACCACTGGTTATTGTTGAAAGGAGAATCTTCTTTGCAAGCATTTGGGTTTCAAATAGCGTCGCCCAATGTCAACAAGAAGTTTGGGGTGTGATGATCCTCCACTTGTCCCCAATGGCCATGAGGTGCTAGGAAATTGTTTGAAACCCAAATTTGTTGCAAACAAAAGTGACAGCATGGCATAGCACATGATTTTAGTGCGAACAAAAGGAGTATAAAATTTGTTGCCCATTAAGTTTCTCAAAATTGCCTATTTCTATAAAAGCTTCACTATGAAATGGAACAAAAAATGCAACCTTTTTGCTTATCCAGATTAGGCATAAATAATGAGTGAGATGCCCATTTAGATTAGGAATGAATAACGAGTGGAGAGAGAGAGAGAGAGAGAGAGAGAGAGAGAGAGAGAGTATTTAGAACATTGCACTACAAACAAAAATACGACCCACTATGGAGGAAATTCTTTTATTAAACGGTAAAAAAAAGGTGGGGGGGGGGTGGAATTGTAACCTCCAATAATATAAGGGCAAATTATTCAAGTTTATTTGGGTTTTTTAGCTGTTGAAGTTTACTAAGTTGTTTGTGAAGTACAGAAAATCAAAAGTTGGGAAGGTTGAAAACATTCTGCTCATCAAATGGTAGTAAAGTGCAGCTGAAGAACATTATATACGGAACGAAGTTGCTCCATAAGAATGGAGCATATTTGGCAGGCTAATCAAATCACAGCATGACAACGCTACGGACTCTGGGGTACGGAAAGATAAGACGCACATCACTTCTGCAGTGAATTTTTGAGCCATATTTTTTAGCTCTTGGGTACGATAAGTGCCTTATGGTAAACAGCAAAAGGAATATAAGTCATCTGCTTTTACATTGTCAACTAGAGCTTTCATTTTGGTATTTTGCCTGGGATCTTTTAGGTTTTCAATAGGTGCTTGCGTATTCAGTCCAACACTTGCTTCAGTGTTGGTTTTCACCACCCTACCCAAACTGGGCTTGATGCTCTGTAGGCTCACTACGAGAGATATCATCTGGGTACTGTGGCCAGAAAGAAATAATCGAATGTTCAATAATAGAAGAGCTCGATAGAATAGTCAAAAGGGTGACTGCTAGCCACCATTATATCCTGGGAAAAGGTGAGGATGGAATTTTGAAATTACACTATGGCAACTTTCAGGACCGTTTTTGGGAGGTCAACACAATATGCAGTTGGAAACTACTAAGTCCGGCTGCAGTAGTCCTCGGTCGGATTCCTCCCTGAGACAACACCATCAAACTCAATTTTGCTGGAAGCTTGAGGGGCAATCAAGGACGATGTGGGTAGGTGGTCTGTTTAGAGATCACTGGGTCGAACCACTCTCTTATTCGGGACCTTACCTGCATATGACTCAAAAGATCAGAGTTTAGGGCACTACAGGGACTTTAGGCCCATGATAGGGGAGATTTGAATAACACAATCCTTAGGGCCAGCCATAAAGATTAACTCCTTGGAGACACTGGAATATTGCTGAATAAATATGGCACCATACTTCTCGCTTGCCCATTGTGTGTTCCCATTCTGGTTGGGAATCCAATGAAATACCAGACATATTGGCTAGAGAGGGTACCCTAGGGCCGAATTATGGGTGGAAAAAGTTAAGAGGACTTTAAACAATTTCGTACAGGGACTCCATTTTGTATATGACATGGGTCCGATATTATCGAAATTCAATTTCAATAAATGAATGAAATTAACCTACCATTCAAAAAAAAAAAAGTTGGGAAGTTGAACAGAGCTCACTTATTTTGGAATCAAAACTTCACAATCATAAAGGGTATTAATTCTTCTTTGGACGGTGACAGTATTAATTACATGCCTAGCACTTTCCCGAGAAAATTGTGGGTATGTGGGCCCAGTGGGCCCCCACCTCTCAAGGCCACCTTCCTCAGACCATTCATTTGACAGGCCTTAAAGTCAAACCTGAGACCAAACCGTTGAGTCATGGTTGAGGCCATCCCAATCTCAGTGGCGATCCCGCGCTGGGATCTTGCTCTAGCACTCTCAGCCACAGGAAAAGGATCGTCAAGGGCTCTTGTTTTTAAATTCAGAAACTCGGCCCCACAGTTGGGTATCTCGATCGTACCTTGAAGACCAATATAATGATCAAATGAATGGTTTTTGGTATTTATAGTATGCTACCATTGCATTGTTTAAATAAAAAGATCCCCACTTTAAATAGTCAGTCTATATATATTCTCTAAAATTTGGGAGCAAGATCCCCAAAAAGTACGGATTGATTGAGATCCCTAACATTTAGGGATCTCCGTAGCAGCTACCATCTGGGTAACTTGGATCGAAAGAAACTAAAGGATCTTCTGAGGATCCAGGCATGAGGTCTTGGCCCTCTTCCACAAGATTACAGCTCAGGTCATCTTCTGGGTTTCTAATCGCAAGGCTTTCAAAGGCATTTCGGCTGCAACCTTTCTACAAAACTGGGAAAACGTTCTCCACCTCCAACCACCTCGGGTTGTTCGAGCCAACAACTGGTCTCCCCCCCCGGTAGGCCTCACAAAACTGAATTTTGACGGGTGATAGTTGGGAAACCCAGGGTCAGCTGGTGTAGGCAGGGTCTTCAGAGACCACTGTGGCAATATACTGGCCTCTTTCTCCAAGTCGATTGGCCACGCCGATTCCCAGCTAGCAGAGTCATTGGCCCTTCTTTCGGGTCTCAAATTATTTGATCCTGGATGGGGACAACCTTGATTGTGGAAGGAGACGCCCTAAATATTATCACTTGGGCTTCCGGAAAGTCAGCTCCCCCTTGGTACCTTGCTTCGATTTATGATGAGATTATGCCCATTTGTAGAGATATGGCCGTCTTATGGAGGCATATTTGGTGGGAATCAAATGCTCTAGCAGACCAAATGGCTATGGAAAGAGAGGGCTGCCAGCGATGAGGGATCCTTAAGAGCTCGACCACTGGTCTGCTCATTTTGGTGTCTCAACCCCTCTCGTTTTGTGTGGCCTTGACATTTTGGATCCACTGTCTCTCACTGTATATCTCTTGTAATGGCCACATTCTACAAGCCCCACTCATTTTTAGTATAGGGCCCTTTTTGGATTAGCCCATTTTTTGCCGAGAAGCCCGACCTGTGGGCTATTTCTGAAGTCTACTGTAATAACCCCTTTTTCAGTAATACAACAGTTAACAATTTCAAAAAAAACATTTAGGGATCTCGATCCCTAACATATGCATTGCATGGACGGTGCTGCCAACTATAGGGATCTTATAGCCTTTCGCAATCCCCCATTTCTGATCCCCTTCCTGATCCCAACAACTATAGTTAGAGCTAAAAACTGGTAGGAAATAGGCCCATGGGAAACTTCAACTATTCACTGATTCATCTACTTGAGAGGCCTCTGGGTAGCCATTACTGAATTCTTCAGTTATCAAACTATGGCCAAGTTAATACTAATGAGGCCTAAACACCTTTGAAATTCCCAAGAATGGGATTGACCACTGACAATGTCCAAGGTCTTGCACCCGTAAAAACTTGGCTTTCCGCTGATCAGGTTCTCATACCATGCGCTTTAATCTTGACTACTCAATACTGCCGCGTTCGAATCACTTTCAAATTTCAATTGAAAACACACTCATTTTGTGTTCAATGACGAATGCCTATACACTTCCTGCTCCAAATGAGTAAACAAATATCCCTACACTGGTTGGTGGCATTAAGTGAAGAAAATCAGTAAATGCTAAGGGGTTGACTGAGTTACATGGAGCAGCTTCCCTAGGGGATGTTCCACTCTAGGAAAACAGTTCCAAGTTCCCCTAGGAGGGATCCTCCTTAGGACTTCTCTCTTGATTACATGGGATCACGATCATAGTTATTAGATATATGATTAGATGATTTTTTTTTTCTTTTTTGTAATTGATAATGATCAGATAAATCTTCAATGGACTATGGTCACTAACTCACAACAGTGAGCTACTTGTATTTTCCTGTATCAATACATGTTCATTATATGCCCTATATTGATATGAAATCGGAAATACAATTCAAGGTTTCATGAATACCATCGGAAGACTACAGTGATTTAAGGACAAAGTTCACTTCGCTTTCTTGTCATGGCCCTACAACCTCAATTAGTTTTCTTTTGTATTTATTATGTGACTCTCTCGTAATGAAATTCCATAGTGCATGTGTATATAATTTTAAAAATAAATTATTTCCTATAATTTTTATTATTGCTTACAATTTCACCTAGTCAAAAAAATTTCATCAAGTCATATGTGTGTGTGTGTGTGTGTGTATATATATATGGGAAATGACCTTGTGAGACCCTCCCACACCTATGTGTGCAGGACCCTAAAGGATCACCATTAAATTTGGCACAGATCTCTAGAAAAGTCAAGTCCCACACCTATGTGACAACTTTTCTAGAGATCTGTGCCAAATTTAATGGTGAT